ATATATATATATATATATATATATATATATATATATATATATATATATATATATATATATATATATATATATATATATACTTATTATTAAGTTTTTTACTTTCATTACTCATTCAAGCCGTCTCCAAGCGTTATTAGTCTCAAAGCGGGTTCTTCGTCATCAAATTTAAATTAATCTTGATCAGTAAAATGTTTTTGTTTGGCTATTTTATAACTGAACTTTTTTGTTCATTCTTCCACTTCATCTGATTACGACCCGCTAAAACTTAGAATATGCGTTCGTTAATGTTAGAATGTATACAATGTAGAATTGTATAACGTTTTACATAGACGTTATTGTGGTGATTATAACACTGTAGAAATTTAAACATTTACTGGTGACTATTTTATCATAAAGTTTAATAACTACTGAAAATAATCCCACTGACAAATATATATATACTAATGTTTTCCTTGTTGTTGTTTTTCGTAATTTACAATATACTAAAAATAATTGCGCTGTTAAAATAAATATTTCACAGCTTCTTATATTTTCATTTAGTTTCACCGATACGGATTTATTTTTTTTTACAGATTAGCACACTAACACTTCTTTAAAAAGTTCAATTTTTGTTGTTAAACATACGGTGATCATTATTAATATACCATAAGCTGAGATTACCTGACCACTCTTCAAAATAAGTGCAGAAAAACAGTCAACTTTATCAATAGTTGCAATGGAATACATATAAATAATATGTTTATTTTTTCACGTAAAACATCGTGTAAGAACATGTATGCACATAAAAAAAAACACTACGTATAATGGTCAGGTAAGCTTCCTAGTAACTATCTTCTTTCCAGTAAAGGTTTGTTTGTTTTTTCAGAGCAGAAGCGCAAATTATATTTGTAGTCATGGTAACAAAATCAATAGATACTACAGCTCCATCTACATCTACGTTAACCGACCACACTTGTAGAACGTTACCCAACAAAAAATAATGTAATTGCAATAAATGCACATGTCTATATTTACACATTGATTAGTTCACCAACAGAATATTATAGGCTTTTTTTTTCTATAATTAGAAGTTTTATTGTTGTTTGGTCAAAGGGAGGTTTCACGTAGCGTGATGAGCATGACCTGATGACTGAAACCATAGGAAACAATCTGAACTGTATAAACCGCGAATCAGGCTAAAGAAGATGATTATTAAGTTTGTTAGTAAGTTAAATTGAGTCTGTAGGTTAACAAGTAATTAGTATACGAGTTGTTTGTCTCTAGCTGTCAGTCAGTAAGTTCAATCCTCTGATTATTAAGTTTGTGTTTCGATGAGAAAAAAAAAAGATGTCAACCAAAGAAATAGCAACTAAGTGAAACTATTGTATTAGCTTTTATTGTGAACTTAGGCCTGTCAGTGAGCATTAGTTATTCTAAATTGTAGAAATTTTATTCTAAGATATAAAACGCCTTTTTTTATCATCAATATGAAAGAATTTGCCCAACAAAAGAAACCTTTACATCAGTATAATATAGGGTACTGTCTGTAGTCATATACGATAAAACTAAAACAGTATTTTAAAATTTTTCATCTATCTACCTCTTGTCTCGCAATATTTTTATATATTCACGCTTGTCTTTTTTTTTTATCTCTTCGTATCTAACTATTACCTCTGTTACCTATCCCTCTTTCTACCTTTTTCTTTAGATATTTATATAACGTACAGCTAAAGAAAAAAAAATCCAAAAGCAGTACAATAGTTCATATTATCGGGCGTTTAGAGACACTTTCTGGTTCCCAGTGGCACAGCGGAATGTTTGCGGATTTACTGGGTTTCGATACCCGTGGTGGGCAGAAACAGATAGCCCATTGTGTAGCTTTGTTCTTAATTAGAAACAAACAAATAACTTTTGGAAAAATCTAATATATATCTCTTTTGTGTGAATAAGAATTTCATAACAGACTGAAAAACCGAAACTTATTTCAAAATACAATTTACTCTCAATTAGGTAAGGAATAAAAAAAAAAAGGAATTTTCCTCATACTTTACAGAAATCTTATTTTTACTAAACCTCTTGCATCCTATGTGGGCAGCCGCCCATTGGCTAATGGCCATTACACAAAAATGTGTGGCCAACTCGTAGAATTATCGATAGTGTGTTTTTTAACTGGTCAAAGAAAAAGAATGCAAAATCTCTCACTGAAATTTCACGCTTTTGTAATTTTGAAAAAGTATTTTCCTGTACTTTTGCGTCGTGTTTATAATTTACCTTGACTGTTATTAGAATCCTGAAATAAATTTATTTAGCGAAAAGTTTTTGGTTTATTAATAGTGTGGCCATTTCTGTGATCGAAAAAGAAAATAATTTTGTTGCCCACCTATGTATTATATTAATTTCTACGTCTTTAAACAGAAACATGGCATATAATTGTATAAGTGTTCGGATTTTAAGTTTTTTTTTTTTTCTTTCACACATTTCACTTATCTCCGTCTTTTAGGTTATTTTTTAAGTAACCACATAATTGGGTTTTAGTTGAGTTGAGGTGTAAAATTTATCAACACCAAGCTGTGTTAACAATTTTAGTAGATTTAGCAGTCGTAAAACTTCGAAGTTGAAATGCGAATAGATATTAATAACAATTAACTCCACGTCGTGCTATGAATTCCGTTACATGATTACTACAGTAGTGGGAATGGTATATAACTAACTACAAGGACGTATATTGTATCCATCTATTCCACTCACCTCCTGCTGATGCACCACAAACTTTAACTGTTCATGAGGTTTGTAAAACACTTTATTAGACTCTTAATTAAACCGTAGAAACTTTACAGGCCTGTTGGCTAATATTAAGAATATCATTTACGACCTGTTGTGCGGTCTTATTACTGACATTTAATCGAGACTTCTTACTGTGAACTCTCTATGATCTGAAACGTGAGTGGGTGCTTTTCTTCCACATTGGAAATATACATGACAACCACCATACTGTGATGATAAAAACCAATGGAAATATACATGACAACCACTAGACTGTGATGATAAAACAGCATTGGAAATATACATGACAACCACCATACTGTGATGATAAAACAGCATTGGAAATATACATGACAACCGCTAGACTGTGATGATAAAAACCAATGGAAATATACATGACAACCACTAGACTGTGATGATAAAATAACATTTGAAATATACATGACAACCACTATACTGTGATGATAAAAACCATTGGAAATATACGTGACAACCACCATACTGTGATGATAAAACAACACTGGAAATATACATGACAACCACCATACTGTGATGATAAAACAACACTGGAAATATACATGACAACCACCATACTGTGATGATAAAACAACACTGAAAATATACATGACAACCACCATACTGTGATGATAAAACAACATTGGAAATATACATGACAACCACCATACTGTGATGATAAAATTTTTGTCATCACAGTATGATGGTTGTCATGTATATTTCCAATTCTGTTTTATCATCACAGTATGGTGGTTGTCATGTATATTTCCAATGGTTTTTATCATCACAATATACCAACATTGGAAATATACATGACAACCACCATAGTGTGATGATAAAACAACATTGGAAATATACATGACAACCACCATACTGCGATGATAAAACAACATTGGAAATATACATGACAACCACTATATTGTGATGATAAAAACCATTGGAAATATACATGACAACCACCATACTGTGATGATAAAACAACACTGGAAATATACATGACAACAACCATACTGTGATGATAAAAACCACTGGAAATATACATGACAACAACCATACTGTGATGGTGTTTCTTTTGTAAAAGAAACACCTTTTCTCCTATAGATTAATATGATGTATCTATATTATATGGTTGAAATATATATACTTAATATGATACAGTTAAGTACACCAAGTTAATTGGTACTAGTTAACAGAAATTATACCTGCAAATGTACTCCAAGTATATTTACAACAAAGGCTGCCTCATAATGACCATATTTACAGATGTACTCCAAGTATATTTACAACAAAGGCTGTCTTATAATGACCCAATTTACAGATGTACT